GCGGTCGGAGAACGGACGAGCGGTCACGCGAAACTCTGCTGTCAAGAACCCCAGCACACTGGAGGAATTCTGGCCTCTGGGAGGCCCCTTGGAGCTGCAGTGGGCCATTCGGAGGCTACCTCCGAGCCTTCTGGGGGTGTATCGGGGGGGACGAACGGGGGGGATAGCAAAGGGTAGGGTAGAGAATCAGCTCACGTAGCTGATTTTCCCAGCGCCTCCCGGCGCCGGGAGTCGCCCATGTATCGAGGAATGGGCCCGGCGGCGGGGCCGAAACCAGCTGCATGCAGCAGATTTCGTACCCCCCCCTTTCCCTATCACCCCCTTTCGTTCGGCCCGACTCTGGGAGGCCCATTGGAGCTGTTGTAGTGGACAATTTGGAGGCTACCTCCAAGCCTTCTGGGGGTGCACGGGGGCCATCGTGAACCTGCCACTCTTGGATCCCGACTTAAATGACCTCTTCGGGCTACCTCGGGATCTCTCGGAACGCTCCTGGAACGCTCGTGAAGGCCCAGAAAATCGCCCCCGGAAACTCTGGCATCTGTGAGGACAACTGCCCAGGGTACTTGTGGGGCTGGGACCCCCAAGGATCACCACGCGCGCGCTGACTTCAACAATCGAACCCTGTTGCCAGAGATTTTAACACGCCTCTCTGTAATTTTTCATGGCAACCATGGCGAAAGGCGGCCGGCCGGCACGAGACTACGCCACAAGAGTATGTTTACAGACACACGCCTACGAATCTTACTTGTAACGCCAGAGATTTTAACACGCCTCTGGCCCGTTGGGCTGGCGAAGCCCACTTCGCAGAGTTCGGTAGAAACATCGCGCCGAAGACCGCCCGCATACTTTCACCCCGAGAGGCGGATGCCCCCGATCACGCCCAAACGGATCTCCCCAAGAAGCCGTCAAGGGGCAACGCAATAATCATGCAAACGTGCACTGTCGGTCGAAGGAAGTAGATATACACATGACGTGAGAAGGCAGATGAAGTAGACTGGGTTCTGGCCGTCCGATAGAAACGATTCACAACAAACGCACACCGACTCTTGAAGCAGGAAGACGCTTGAAGTCGATTGAACAATGGGGATCCCAAAATACCTACTTCAACGAGTGGCGTGTACGTCCGCGCCATGCTGCGACGTCGTAGCGGTGTGTCCCAAAGTGCCCCGCGGTGGTTCAACACGTGGCGCTATCGCAATGGCGGGCCCTGCCGCAGGCAACCGGACACGAAGGCAACGAAACAAGTGGGGATACTCACGGTCAGCAGTGAACTTCTCACATTGGCATATCTGCGCAAGCCAAGCCGCTCCCTCAGTGCAACACATTGTCGTGTGTTTGCATGCACAAACAAAGCTGGAAGACCACCGTATGGGTGATGAGGATTTGATGTCCTGTCTAAGAAATAGCGCAGCATGAACCCTGCTTGTTCGCGCCGCTCACGTCGACCTGATTGTGGCAAATTCGTGTCGTGACCACCCTGGCGCTGGCTTCGGACACTACGTGGATCACTCAACCTTCAACGACCGGCGGCGTCTGGATCGCCGGATAGTTCCAGATTGGCAGATTATGGGCCCACGTCGGCGTTCAACCTTGAACGCGCGCGATGGGGCCTGGGGGGGAAGCTCGGTCGGGACTGGATCAGGGAGGGAAGCATCACCTGGAATCGGTGATACATCGCCGATAGATCAGCGACGGGCCCCCGCACAGCAAAACCGCGCGTTCCCGGGGCAAGGCGGGCAGTCAGGCCCCAGTCGGCGATCAGTGATGGGCCTGTTTTCCACCACCGCCACCGTGCGCTGGAGGGGGGGAAGGAAGAGGGGAACGAAGAGGAGGAGGAGGGGGAGGATGATCAGGACCCTCTCTCCATCCAACTCATGGAGGTGGTGGGAAACATGCCCATCGATCAGTGTGCGATGGCGGGCCGACGAATCCCCCCTCAAACCCAGCCCCCGCCAGCGTTGCCCCCGATAGGGGTCGTCAATGCGCCGACACGACTCGAACCTGCCGCGCCCCCCCGCCCCCCCCTCTCCGTGGCAGAAAGCGCCGTCTACGAGGAGAAGGGCAGAGGAGGGGGGAAGAGGATAAGGAGGAGGGGGATAAGGAGGAGGAGGGGGACTAGGAGGAGGAGGAGGAGGAAGAGGAGGAGGAGGAGGAGGAGGAGGAGGAGGAGGAGGAGGAGAAGGAGGCGGAGGAGGGGGAAAAGGGGGAGGGGGAGGGGGAGGGGGGGGGAGGGGGGGAGGAGGAGGAGGAGGAGGAGGAGGAGGAGGAGGAGGAGGATGAGGAGGAGGGAGGAGGAGGAGGAGGGGAGGAGGAGGAAGAGGAGGGGGAGGAAGGGGGGGGGAGGAGGAGGAGGAGGAGGAGAGGAGGAGGAGGAGGAGGAGGAGGAGGAGGAAAAGGATGAGGAGGCGGAGGGGGAGGAGGAGGAGGAGAGGAGAGGAGGAGGAGGAGGAGGAGGAGGAGGAGGAGGGGAGGAGGGGGGGGAGGGGGAGGAGCACGAGGCGACGGAGGAGGGGGGGGGCGGGGGGGGGGGGGCAGGAGGAGGCGGAGGAGGAGGAGGCGGGGGAGGAGGGGGAGGAGGGGGAGGGAGAGGAGGGGGAGGAGGGGGAGGAGGGGGAGCAGGAGGAGGAGGAGGAGGAGGAAGACGAGGGGGTGGCGGAGGAGGAAGAGGAGGCATAAGAGGAGTAGTGTGTATATATATATATATATAGCGAGCGATCTCGATGATCAAGGACAAGGGAAAAAGGGCCAACCTAGGAGGCAGCCTCCTAGGTTGCCGGGGGGGCGGCAGGGGGCGGAGGAGGGCGCGCGTGTGGGGGGGGGGCAGCAGGGCGGCGCCTGATGGCGGCCACGGCCGCCGCGTGGTCGGCCGCGACCGCGACGTCCCCGAACGGCGCCGCGCGCCGCGCGCGCGGGGCCGCGCTCGCCGCTCTCTCTCCCTCCCCTTCTTTCGCCCTAGCCCTCTCCTTCCGCTCCTTCCCCCAAACGAGACTGCCGGGGGCCTTGCCCTGGGAAAACCTGGCGAGATTTAGGGCCCCCGCCTTTTCGAGGCGGCCCGTGCAAGCATCCCCGAGATCGCGCAAGTGCCGCGTAGAATACGCTCCACGCGTCAAACACCACAGCGCGTTAGCCTCGGGCCAGAACGCCATGGCATGGGGCGGGTCCACAAGACGACTGCGCACACATACTGCAGCCGTCGGACGGGAGACAGAACCTGACGAGGCCATGGGCATACACTGCGAATGCAAGAACGCCGTCAAGTCACGGGCGGTCGAAGAGCAAGCGCACTTCTGACACTGCGCGAAGTCTCCACATATCATGGGGCACCTATGGGGCGACCTCACCGCAGCAGCACGCAAGAGCTGACGAGCCGATATCCGAACCTTCTGTTTGGGGGGTCGGGGGAGGGGGTGGGGGGCGCCTGCCCTCGCGCTCCAAAACGCCCGACATGACGTCGAGCAAATGGCTCTGCACCTTTCGAGCGAAACCATCAGCGAACCTGATGGGCGCCGAAACCGCATATCGGACCTGAACCTGCTGCGCGAAATGGCTCGCAACCTCGTCGGCCACGGCGTTCGCCAACGCGACTCCAGGGTTCAGCCCGCGGCGGACGACATCCTCGACTTTGAGGTGGCTCGGGATCTGGATGAGAACCACATCGCCGAACCGATCCAGAGCGCTCTGGACACGGCCCCGGAGATCAACGTGGGTTTGGATTCGCTTCAGGAGGCCGGCCTGGGCACGAGCGAAGCCCCGGGCAACGTAAGCCGAGTCCGCTATATAACCCAGACGCGCCTGAGGGTAAGCAGGCCCCGGGGAAGCCAAGAGGGCCCATACCCCCCCGCGATCCGCAGACTGCTTGCCCGCGATCCCGCTCCCTTCAAAAAACTTAGTGTCGGCATCCGACGCGAGGGGGGCAAAGTTAGAACATGGCGGCCAAGCGCCGCGACGCCCCAAGACACCCGCCTCTTGCGCATATCCCTCGTAAACTCCTCACCGCTCGCGCCCCCGGCGCCCCGGGCGCGAGTTTCCTCGAGAGGACCAGGAAACACGCCAGCGGCAGAGAGGAGAGGGTCGTCGGGAGGGGGGGGGGGGGGGGGCGCGCCCATCATTCGCGGGGCACGAGACCGCGAAGCCAGAAGCAGGGCAGATCAGTAGCCTTTTTCGAGAACGCTTCATCAATCCTCTGAAATTCGGCATTGCAGGGACATTCCCAGAAACGATGGATATCCGATTCAGGCGCCTGACCACAGCGGGGACAAGTGAGATCACGCTCTTCCCCGCAAGCTTGGATGCGAGACCTCGTCCAGACGGCCCCCGTGAGCGCGGCTCGCAGCAGGCCCCACTTCTGGATCGACTTCTGACGCAAGGACCCCAAGGTGCCGCCGCGGGGCCGTGAGGTCAACGCCTGATGCACAAAAAAACCTCCATTGTGGAACTCGGCGGCAGCGGACCATAATACGCTACGGCCCCCACCTTTTTAAAGTCCGACGTCATATGAGCCCGGGGGCGAAGCTCATCGGGAATGGCGAAGACATCGCCCCCAGGAGACACCCAAGACCACGGCCCGTCGAGCTTCCATCCCAAGGCCGCCACGGTGGCGACCACAGCCGAAACGGGCCCTTCAATATTGTGCCACCTGCGCTGGGGGCCCAAACTGTCGACGCGATTAACCGTGGACTTCCAACGGGCACGCGTGCGAGCAACTCCTTTTTATGGCATGGCAGCAACGATCTGAAAACGCGACTCCAGCAGCTGGAAGACCGCGGTGAAAACCAGGTCCTTTTTTCCCGAACTTCCAACGCCAGCGGGGTCGTGAGACAGCGCCATGACGTGCCACGCGTTGAACTGCTAGCTAAGGCCCGTCGCCACTTCTTGAGGACCGAGGGCGCGACCCCAAAAACTTTCCAGGCATAGGGGGCCTACGGCAAAGCCCCAGCGAGGATCAATCGCGCCCCGATCTTGCGAGGAGCCACAGCAGCTAGCGTATTCATTCGACGGGCCTTGCGGGTGGCCTGCCCAAGACGCTTGGAGCGACGGGGCTTGGCAACTACAGCGCCACTGCCCCTCTCGATGCCAAAGTCCGCCGCAACCGAGGTCAATTCGACCTGGGTGCCTTCCAGTCCTAGGCCAGCTTGGATCGCGCGCGCCGCCGAAAGCTCAGACGCCACAGTGGTCGACTCACTCGCAATCTCAAGCTGCCCCTGATCGCAGCCCGAAGCAAACGCAGCCCAGGCTTGGATCAATTCCCGCATTACCTCTCGCTTCAACCCCTCGGCGCGCCGAGTGACATCATCGATCCACGCGCGAAAGGAAACAAATGCACAGCTAGCCCGCGAGCGCTCGCAAATTTCGAACACCTGGCATTTCGAGCATTCGGGGGCCCTGCGAGCGCCCGCAACGAGCCCCCCTCGAGGAAGAATGGGAGGAGCGAAAACCCCCTCATCCCGCAGCAGCCGAGGCCCCATGTGGAGGATGCTTTCCAAGGCCAAAGGGCGCGGGGGGAAATCGAAATCGATCGCATGATCGGCCGCGCGCCCCCACCTTATCGCGTCGTAAAACGCTTCAACGTCCCGCAACACTGCGGCGCAACAACAATACTCAGGCAGAGCAGCGGCAAGTGCCGCCTCGCCAGCATAACACCTGAGCAGAGCCTCTCGTAAAGCGCTCCTGCCTCGAACCGCGGCGCCCCAAGGGCCAGGGCGAGCCGAGGCCCGCGCTCCCGCAGGCCGAGACCGCATGCGGGCCCACAAACGACCAAGCCAAGTGAGCAATCCGATGGCGCGATCCTTACGCACATCAGGTTTGCGCAGAAGAACGATGATGGCTGTGGGCCGCTGCCGAGGCCAAGCAACCTTGGCCTCAACCGGATGAAACAATGCAAGCAGCGCGCGGCGGCCAGACTCAGGCAGCCACCGCGCGCCCCTCTGGCCGACCGGCTCGATGCCCCGCGCCTTGCGAGGCGGCGCGCAGCGCAGCGCCTCCTCCAGCTGGTCCAGCGTGAGGGGCTCCAGCTCGTCCTGGAGCGCCAGTTGGCGAGCTCGGTTCAGCACCTTCTTCGACGACTGCGGCGTCCACAGCGCCGACCAGACCGCCGCCTTGGCCTCCATCGCAGAAGCAGCATCGCAGCATCCTCCCCGACTCGGACTTCAGATACTTCACCCGCGGGACCGCGAACAAACCGATGCAGCGCGCCGCAGCCCAACACCGCCTGCTGGCGAACCCAGTCGCGGAAAAACTGATGCCGCTGTCGTGCCGCAGCGCGCTGAGCCTGGCCAGAGACCTTCCGCGCACCTTCAGCAGACGCCTGGGGGGAATCCTGCGACGCGCCTTCCAACGTCCGAAGACTCCGCAGCCACCGACCACGGCGACGCGCAAGCAGTGGCGCGATCTGCGTGGGCGGGATAGTTCCAGCGAGCTGCCGCAGCTGATCGCGAAGATGCCGCGCCCGTGGAGGGTCGCGCTTATTACCTTTCTGTCCAACCAACTCGCCCAACAAGTTAGCAACCGTGCCCCGCCAACGGGCACTGGGATCAGCGACGGTCGGATACGGCCTGCTACCAGCATGCGCACCCAGCTGAGGCCCACGAAGACTCGAGCGACCACGGTACTGCGTTCTCGCCATGGGGTCCACCTTATACAACTCGAGATAATACAACTCCATAGTAGAAACCCACGACGCAAACTCAACACCAAGGTCCTGGGCCTCATGCCCAGCTGCATGATACGCCAGGGGATGTTGCACAAACTGAAGGATAGCGGGCTGAGAGACGACTGCCGAAACCGACCCCCTTGTCTGAAAAGGGTAGTTTTTTCCTTCCCGAACGTGGGCGCCAACTGCGGTCGCAACAGATCCTTCGCCTCCGCCGACCACTCCGCCTGGATGGGAGCAAGCGTGTCCACATCAGAATATGAGACGGCCACCTGCACATCACCATCTTCGTCAGGAACGTCCGCGCCCTCCCCGTCCGTGAAAAACCCATCCCCAACTTCACCAAACAATGATTACTGCAAAGGAAGTGGGCTCTTGATCGCCATCTTGCGCCTCGGGCCCCACGACGAGGGAGACGGCGTGGAAGCTGAATGCGGAGGGGCCTCTCGCCGAGCCTGGGCCTCCGCTTTGTTCTGCGAACGCTTGCTCTCGGGGTCAGCAACAAGCTTGGGAAACGCGGGGTGGGGAAAGGCGCGTGGCAATCGCATGGGCCAAGCTCTGGCCCGACTGGCGTCGAAGTTGAGCTGAGCTGAAGCCCGCAGTGAGCCTTTCCAGCCTCCCCCACCGCCCGGAAGTCAGCCGGCAAAGATTCCACCCGCGGCAGCGCGTGCTGCGAGACCACCATGCAGTCCAACATCCTGCCCGAACCCAGGAGTGCACGTGCACTCGGTGTTCGACGGGGTGGCCGCAGATCCATTCACGAGAGCAAGCCACCCCGTACTAGCCAACTCCTTTGGTGCCATATCCCAATCGCCAATGGCCAGCCGCGGCCCCTGGATAGTACAGGCCAGGGTGCCAACGCTAGCCAACTTCGGAGCGTTCGCCTTGGGTCCAACCGGAGACGTCATGCAAATCCGATGATCAACAGCGACTGGCCTTGAGCGCGCAACTGCATGGCCACCGTATCACGAAAGCTGGTGCCTGGATGATCCTTCGGGCTCCTATCCAGATCACGCAATCCAACCTGGTCCGAGGGGGCCGAAGCAAGATGACGCATCGACTGTACCTTGAATGTTTTCAACGTGCCCATGCAGATGCCACCTGCTCTGGATTTACCATTGGCCTCATAGGCCGCCGAAAGCATGCCGACGAAGCCTGTCTTCCTCCAGTCATGTAGCAAATCGTGAGAGCCCGACTCGGGCACGTGGGTCTCGGGGAAGATGAGGACATCCGCTTCGCGATCACGACAGACAGATCGCGTGGCAGGGCCCAGCCCTTCCAGGTTTCTCACGCACAAAGAGCGCCGCGTAGAATTCGAACGCCCCGATCCTGACATCCGCTGTTCGAAAACAGCACCAAGCGCTGGTGGGGGCGAGGGCGGCGCCAAGCCGCTCCGACAACCGAGGTCGCGCGCCTCGCCCCCTTCAGCGGCCGAGGCAGCCGGCGCCGTCGGCTGCCCAGAAGAGGGCTCGCGCCCATCCGCCGCAGCGAATGAGGGGCGAAAGGGGTTCTCGGCCGTCGATGGGGCCGCCAGCGCCGAACATGCAGGGGCCGAGCTTGGACTCGTAGCTGGCGGGCTCGCCCCTCGACCCAAAGGCCAGCCGCGATCGCAGGGCGAGAACCCGCTGAAGGCTCGACGCGCCCGTGGCGCCCGCCGCAAACGGTTTGCGGCGGGCAAACCGTTGCGGCAAACCTCGCCTTCGCCAGCGTCGCCTCCGCATCCAGCTCGAGCTTCGTCTCAATCGCCGTCCAGCGCGCAGCCTCGACAGCGTTCGCCTCAGCAGCGGCGCCGCCAGGCGCCGAGCCCGCCGCAGCACCTGCGCCTGCCGCGGCCTGCCCAGCTGCCTGCCCAGCCGCGCTGCCGCCCGAGGCGGCCGCTGCTCCGCTTGAGCCGCCTGCCGCGACTGCTGGCGGCGGCGCAGGCGAATGCCCCCTGCGCCGCTTGGCCACCTTCCCGACAGGTTCTCGCGATGCTCCTTCAGCTTCTCGTGGGCGTCGCCGAGAGTGACCCTCAACGTGTGCATCAAGGCCTCCATCACGGCCTTCTTCCTCCTGTCCAGCTCGTCGACGTCGCTCTGTTCCATGAGGCCGTCGGCATTGCTGAACTCCTCGCCCAACGATAGGGTGAACATCGACTTGTCCACCAACTGCGCCGACAGCAGCGCCGACAAATCGACGGTGTTGCCCGGCGCCGCTGGCTGCTGAACACCAACTGCCGCAACCGTGGGCACCATGGAGCGGAACAAAGTGGCCCTATCGGCCTCCGCTTGCGTCAAAATTGTCGCGGCGTCCTGCAACAAGCTCTTGCACTTTTCAAGCTCCATTGTCAACTTGGGCTGCTGCGCCTGCGCCTTGTCGAAGGCCGACTGAGCCCTCTGGACCTTCGAAGCCGCCGCCGTCACCTGCTGCGCGATCGGCTGAGACGACTCCGCCTTATTGCCCGCGGCCCAAGTGGCGTCCAGCAGCGCCTGGGCCGCCTTGGCCTGCTCGGTGCCGCCGCGGTCCTTGATGACTGTCTCGAGCTGCACCTCCAACGTGTCCTGCTCCTTGCCCTTGCCCTTGCCCTTGGAGTGCATGGGCCCTCCACCGCCTCCATCGCCAGACTCAGGCGGCGGAAGGTTGCCGAAGGGCGCCCCGCACAGGCACGTGTTCTTGTACATCTGTAGCTTACTCGTCCAAGCCCAGCGCGGACACGCTGAGCACTTAACCTTCGAATCATGCTGAGGCCCATCCTTACGCGGAATCGAAGCCCCAGACTGGGGCGGCGGCGGCGGCACAAACCACGGCTGCTGAGCCATGTGCCACGGCGCCCGTCCGATGCCTTGCCCGCGGGGAGCAGCATGCTGAGGTCCAGGCTGGAGCGGAAGCAGTGGCCAGGGATCCCCAGTCTGCACTTCCTTCCTGTTCCTCGCGTCACGCCAATTCTGGCTTTTACCAATCAGGGCTGACCGGCTTTTAGTGATCTGGATCTCCGAACTCGGAGACTGCTGATCCCAGCCGACATCGTTTGGAGATCGTCGGTGGCCACAAAAGCCCGCGGTGCCTCCTCGGCACAACAAGCGGTCGGGGCCAAAACGGCTGGCGAAGGAGGAGGAGGAGGAGGCGGAAGAGGAGGAGGAGTCGGCGCTGGTGGCGATTGCAGATTGACAGAAACTCATGTCACGGTGATGTAAGCAATGGCCTGAAAACCAGAGCCCATCCCAAACATCCGACGTCCCGATTTTTTCGAGACGCGGGCCTCTGACCTCCCGACCGCTGCCCTGGGACCGGGTTTTCATCCCGTGTCGTTTTTGACGGCCCCGAGACCCTGCGAGGGCCCCGAGAGGCCAAACACAACCAAAAGCCTCCGTCTCTATTTCTTCGAGGCGCCCGATGTCTGGGATCCTACGCCCGAAGTGGTCCTTATCTCAGCGTCTTGACCGCATCGCTCAAGAAGCCCCGCCCCGAACGAGCACGGCGCCGCGGCAAACCAGGAGCGCGCGGCCTGTCGCTCGAGGAGTACACCGCACACCGGAAGAGGGAGCACTGCTCTCGGGGGTCTGGCAAGCGGGGCAACTGAGGAGGAAAGGCGAGGAGTTCTAGCTTCCATTGCGGCAAGCGCTCTAC